TACTTTGAAATTGTAAAAAAAAAAGTTGACCACAGTAATTAAGTAATGGACACAAACAATTGAAACAAGGCAAGTGAACAAAGAAAAACAGAGTACGACTATAGGACAAAGACTTTTCAGTTATCTATTCATTTTTTCCGTTTTTTTAAATTGGGAATTTAATGTTATGTTAATAAAATAAACTAAAGTTGGGCCACAAAACAAATTGAACTAAAAGCCCAAATGAATAAAATTAAGTTGTTCATGTTTTTTTGTACAGAAGTTACTGCCACCGTTGACGGTTCCGATCAACACCTATCGACGCTTTCAACTCGGAAACATGCGATTCCATCGCGCTTGCAAACGCCTCCTCCTCGGAATCGCGATTCCAAGACGATTCCGTTTCCGGAGCGAGAAGCGCACCACCACCAACGATTCCATGATACGTAGGTTACCGTATGATACAATTCCATGCAATTATTCGTTAACGAGCACTCTCTTATGAGCGATGTCTTTGCCAAGTGGGACCAGTTTCGTCCGTTCTCATTTTTTCATGTGGGATTGGTTTAATCGTGATGTTTCTCCTAGTCGAGTTAATAATTCCGGTGATCTTTTTTGACAGCGTAATTTCAGTTATCAACGCTCATACCCTATGATGTATAGATGTCATTTAGGTTTTTGATCCCGGAATCATTGGTATAGTGACATTACTCAAAGGGATAAAGTCTCATTGGGATTGAATTGAAAGAAAAACAAAGTCAATGTCTTTTACAAGGATTTGATGCATAGAAAACATCTTCAAGTTCATTACTTTTGATATATATCTTTCTTAGTATATAAGTATATGGCAAAAGTATTTACATATGTTATAATTTGTATTCCAAAACTTTTAATAGCTTTTGTAAATTGTTAGCCAAAAAAAGAAGCATCTACGAAGACGATCTTCTGTCACAAAGCAAAATATTCAACGTTATTGTTTGTGTGTTCGGTTACATATCGTCATCAATCCTCCTATTGACAACAATTTTAAAATGGACAAAAACAAAACGAACAAGAAAAAGTCTGAAACTCTGATCTGTACCTTTAATCGTGTGAGCTGGTTCCGTTTAGACTAAATTCCCTAGATGCAATGCTATTTTCTCAACTCTTGTTTTATTCAACAGAATTGAGAGTTAAAGTACTTAAATTCTCCATCTCAATTCAAAAACATCCTTCTTTTGCACGTAGTGATTCTCGATTCCAAATACATTTTTCTATTGCAGGTAGAACATCAAGAACTCTTCGATGAAAGAAATTAAGAAGCGAAAACTAGTTAAGAGCGTTTGCAACACATAGTAGATGTTCTAAAAGTAGAGCTTAATTAGGTAAAGGAAGAGTATTTGGTCGCAGAAACAACTTGAAATTCGAACCCAACTTTTAAAATATCTTCATTGTCCAAATAAGACTTTCGAAGTTCAGCTAAAGACACGAAGTTATACCAACCATAACCCGTGCCTGATTTGTCGAACCAGAAGTCAACTGCAATGATAAATGTAAACATCGATTAATTGAGAATCACAGTTCAAGCCAAATAAATATCATTATCCATATTCATAATAATAATTAAGAAAGCTAAGAAATAATAATGTAAATAGTGTTTTATAACATACGATTGTCTGTCAAGTGATAGGAACCAAGTGGGTCTTCCACTTTCAGATCTGCATGCACGTAAATCTTCTCGTCTTCTTCTAATTTTTATTAAAATCCAAATCAAACTAATACTTTAATTCTTTATAGCTGATCTGAGTTTATAGAGTTCGTCTCAGATTAAAAATGGTGAATCTATGGAGTTTGATTTTATGATCGTATAAATCAAAATAATGATAGGCAAAGAACAAGATATAAATGCTGGTACAAAGTTGTATGAGAAAAAGAGGCGTGATGTGAGCATAAAAGCACAAGTCAAAACTGATCGAACACTACACACTTACCACACGCCAAAGCTAACCCCATTTTTTGAAATTTTATATACGATCCAAATTTTACTATAGCTAAACTGAATAGAACCATAATTTTATTTAGTTTGTGAGGGTTAAGACTCTCCTCGGATTAAATCTCACTTCCCTTAGGGTTTAGATCTTTTTAATTTGTTAGAAATAATATATTATTTTAAGTGTTTTGCGTAAATTTATAACTATTTATTCTCAGATATTAATTTGTATAATATTTTTATTTTCAAAAAACTATAAATAGTGTATGTATAAATTTAAAATATACTGTATATAATCTATTAGCATAAAACGAATTTTGGTTCATTACTTTTTTTTTATGTAGTAACTATACTATGATTATTGTGGTATTTTTTTTATTGAAACTTATATTCAATTTAAAATTTATGTTTACGTGTCTAAATTTAATTCTTAAAAAAACCTAGTTTTCATTAATTTTATAGCATAAGTCCACTAATACATGTTTTACAAATTTTAGACTTACAATTTCATTTATTTTCTCTTTTTTTTCCTTATATATTAGCATCGGATTTCGGATATTTGGTCTCTCGTAAGACGTAGTCACTATGTTTTTTGAAGATATGTTCTCTAGAATTTTTTTTGGCTAG